AAGGGTGTTTGGGCTAGAACATCCCTGTCACTTAGTGAGAGCCGACAGAAGAGTTGTGGCCAAGACCATGGCCACGTTGTGGCAGCAGAAGGAGCCTTAGCGGGGTGGCTGTGGGGGGCACCTGGAGGAGGGGGCTGCCCATGGGGCAGGGTCCTGTTTGCTGTTGGTTCTGTCCTGCCTGTCCCACTGCAGAGCACCCACAGGGCCCTGCTCCTGTGCTCCAGTGTGGGTCTGTGCCCCCCGGAGGACACCAGCCTGGTGCCTCAGCTGGGCCAGTGTCCTGCTGGGAATAGCTGGTGGGGTGGCACAGCAGGGCCTGGTTTGCTGAAATGGGGCAAAAACTGCAAGAGGTTTGTGAGGCTCATTTCAGCCACCTGGGGCCATGGCAGGAGCAGCAAACTGCTGTGTTTAGGTCCTTGCTGAACAGGTTGTTAGGTGACTCCGTGATAGTGCATCTGATCTTTTTTACCAAACCAAGGCTACAAATAACAGAGATAAATAAATGCATTAAAGCAGGTAGAGCAGGAGTTTTGTACTTTACCAGCCAGGTCAGGAGAGAGGCCATCGATGTTGAAGCCACATGGCTCTGTCATGGCCCTGTCCATAAGTAGCTGTTCCTGGGTGCATGTGATTACAGAGGACTCTGGTTTAATTGTAGAGAAAAAAAAAATGTTTCCTTGGAAAGATCAGAAGCAGAGCTGAGAAATTCTCCAGCTTTTGCCAGTTCACATTCAGAAGAGAGTACGTGATTTCTAAAACAAGCCCCATCCTTCTGGCAGGATGAGTCATGATTTTTGAGTTCACGAGCTGGACAGTAATGCTGTCCTCAGCAGACAATTTAAACTGATTTTATAATAGGTTCAGGGCTGCAGTTTTGGCGAGGCATAAAGAGATCTTCCACATCTGTCTGGGGGGTCCACAAGCCCCTCTCCATCCTGCTCAGAACAAGGTGGGTGCTCTGGGGAGGTGACAGGGCGCTGGGTCGCGTGTGCTGAGCTCTGGGGGGAGGAAGAGCAGCACAAGTCATCCCATCATGGCCTGTATCATGATGCAGATGCACAAGGGGGCAGAGTTAACTTTCCCATTTCCTGATTTGGGAGAGAGTCGACCTGGCAGCCAGCCCCTGGCCTCATCTCCTCTGTCACCCCTGCCCTTCCTGGGTGGCTGCTGATCTGCTGTCCCCAGGGGTCCCAAGGACCCCAGCATAGCAGACTCACCCCTCCAGCTCCCAGCTGCATCCAGCCCTCCCTGCCATTCATGACCTGGTTTTCTTCTCACTCTTGACATTTTTTTTAGCAGATGTCACCAGTCTTTAAGCCAGTGGGGAGCTTGCTGGCGAGCAACAGGGGCAAACCAAACCAGACAGTCTTTATTGGTTTATGTAGCTGAAGGTGTCATTTTTTTTCCCCTGTTGTAATACGGGCTCGGAGCAGATGTGCCCTGGTGGGGGATCAGTTGCTTTCACTGGTGGATAAAGGATGTACAACAGGAGACTGACAGGGATGCAGCAGCTCCGGGTGGGCTGCAGGTCTCCTCCTCCCAGTCCCCTGCCTGCACCTTCATCTGGCATTTGAGGGGAGGTGAGGGTGGGCAGTGAGATCCTAAGTCACAGAGTCATAAAATCTCAAAGTGGTTTGTGATGGAAGGGAGCTTAAAGCCCATCCATTCTAAACCCTCTGCATGGGCAGGGACACCTCCCACCAGCCCAGGCTGCTCCAAGCCCCATCCAACCTGCCCTTCAACACTGCCAGGGATGGTGCAGCCACAGCT